TAGAAGAGGTCCTCCTCCCCTTCCATCTGATCCTAGTCTATCAGGTTTCATCAGGAGTAGCTGCATTGTTTTCCTCTGTGGCCTCTGCTCTCCCCTCAGGTGGAGGTGATCAAAGAGCCAGCCACTGAGTTCATGTCATAGACAGTCCGTGTTCCCATTACTAGGGAACCCTTTTGGACACTGAGCTTCCATGGGCTGCCTCTGTGCAGGGGTTCTAGGTTAGGTCCATGAATGGTCCTTGTTTGGAGTAGCCAAAGGACTCCTGAAAGGACTCCTGTGCCCAGATTTTTTTGTTCCTACGGCATAATTTTAAAGCAGGTATTGTGACACCTGCCACATTGCTTGTTTTTGCTCAACATTGGGATATTGTTTCAGTATTAATTTAAGCTCTGTAAAGCATGTTAGTGAAATTTTGATGGGAAGTGTATTAATCTATGGGCTTCTTTTGGTGACGTAGTCATTTTTATGCTCTTTAACAAAGATTTATTTTTATTTATGTGTATGACTGTTTTGCCTGAATGTATGCGTGTGTGTGTGTGTGTGTGTGTGTGTGTTTGGGGTCTGCAGAGGCTAAAGAAGGTACCGTATTCCCTGGAATTGGAGTTATGGATTTGGGTACCATTTGGGTACTGGGAACACAACCAAGACTTCTGTGAGAACCTGAAGTGTTATTGACAGATGGTCTTCTTTCCAGTCTCCTCTCATTTTTAGAATTAATTTTTTTTTTTTTTTTTTTTTTGCTAATCTGTGAACACAGGAAGTCTTTCCATCTTTAGGGTCTTCTTTACTTTTTTTGGTGTATTCAAGTTTTCATCATAAAGGTTTTTAACCTCCTTGATTAAGATTATGGTTAGTGGGTTTGTTGTTTTGTTTTTCGTCTGTTTAGTATTTTTTTATATTGTAAGTGGGATTGTTTTGCTGATTTCTTGGTCAGTGACTTTGTTATTGATTTTTTTAACTTATGATTTGATATTTAAATTTGGTATCCTGCTACTTTGCTGGAAGCACTTATCAGATCTAAGAGTCTTCTTGTAGACTCTTTAAGGTATTTTAAGTATAAGAGCATATCATTTACAAATAGGGGAAAATGGACTTGTCTTTTTCAAATTTGAATCTCTTTATTTTTCTTGCCTTATTACTCTAGCCAAGATTTCCATTTATATCTTGTTGTTTTAATAAAGAAAATCCAGAATCATTCAATTTTACCAATAAAGACTCAGGAGCCAGATGCTGGGGTGAAAACTTGCTAACTCAGAGAGGCAAAAAAGCACCCAGCTGTCGTTCCTTCTCAGCTCACCTCTTGAAGGAAAAACAAAAACAAAAACCAAAAGCTCAAAGCTAAAAGATGCCCCCCCCCAAAAAAAAAAATCAAAAGGCCAACAGCCAAAAGCTTGCTAGCTCACTCAATAGCCCAGGAGGGCTAAAAGCTTACTAGCACAGTTGATAGCCCAGCAGGAAAAAACTCTTCTTCATGATGTCAAAATACTCTTCTTTCAAAGTCCCTCCTTTCTGTTAATCCTTGTCACTTGGTTACTTGCTCTGCCTGTTGACCTAGGGTTAACTTTATTAAATCCCGTGTACAGAAAGCTCTTGGATTAAAACATGTGTGCTAAGGCTGAGCCACAACACAATCACCTGTTTACAATAAACAGAAAGTTCTAGGATTAAAGGTGTGTCTTAGGGCTGAACCATACCAAACAAGAAACAGACTTTTACAGTTCACAGTCTCAGGGTTCACAATGGGATTAAATATCCTGCAACAATATATTTAATAAGAGGGGTAAAATTAGTCATCCTATCTTGTTTCTGATATTAGAGGAAATACACTCCAGTATCCCCTTCAGTAAAATGTTAGTTATAGTATTAATGACTGTGGCCTTTACTATGTTGCTGTATGCTTTTCGTATTCCTAATTTCTTAAGAGTTATTAATGTGAGGCAGTGTTGAAACTCATCTGAAGTTTTTTTATTTATCTATTGAGATGACATGATTTTTGTTCTTGATTCTTTGATTAGTGGATAATAAACCATTCTTGCTTCCCCAGTATGAGACCAACTTAGTCATGGTTTTAATATGTTGTTGAATTAAATTTGCAGTATTATATTGAGTATTTTTGCATCTTTGTTCATCAAGTAAATTGATACTTCTGGTCTTTGTAACAGTGCATCTTCCGTCATAAAACAAGTTTCTGTTTCTTACATTTCTATTTTATAGAATAGTTTGAAGAGCGCTATTGATAGTTCTTTAAATGTTTGGTCAAATTTGCCTATGAATGTGTTTGGTCCTGGGATTTTCTCTGATGAGAGACTTCTTGTTCAATCTTTTTGGTTTTTTGTTGTTGTTTTTTGTTTTTTCCATCTGTTTGTTTAGATTGAGTATATGTTCTTGGTCCAACTGGTTAACATGTGTTTAGAAATTTATCAATTTCTTTTAGATTTAGGTTGTGAGAATGAAAGTTTTCAAGATAATTTCTAATGATCCTTTTGTTTTTAGTGATATCTCAATTTCAGTTCTAATTTTATTAACTAACGTATGAGTTGGCTAAGGACTTGACATTTTTCTTTTTAAAATTTTTTAAAAATTTTCTTCTGATTTATTCACTTTCTTCTGGGTTTGACCTTTTCCTTTTTTTGTTTTCCTTTTTTAAAGAATCCACTCTTTAATTGATCTTCCTTTTTTTTTGGTTGCTAGGTTATTAACCTCAACTCCAATTTTTATTATGTTTTCCTTCTATGGTTTTAGGATTCTGTTAGTCTTGATTTATTATCTATCTATCTATCTTCGTGGTGGTTTTTTTATTTTATTTTATTTTTCTTTTCTTCTTTTTTTCTTGAGACAGCGTTTCTCTGTGTAGCCTTGGCTGTCCTGGACTCGCTTTGTAGGTCAGGCTGGCCTTGAACTCACAGAGATCCAAGTGCCTCTGCCTCCCTGCCTTCCTGTGCCACAGCATCTAGCTGTTTTTTCCGAGGCTTTAAGATGTATTGTTATGTTATTTGAGAGCTTCCAGAGTTTTTAAAATGTAGGTACTCCTAGGTTGTTTCCTGTTTTCTTCTTCTTCTGATGTCCATCCTCTTTGCTTTTCAGGATGGGGATTGAGCGTTTTAGTCAGGGTCCTCTCTCCTGATTAGTTTCTTTAGATGTACAGATTTTAGTAGGTTTATCCTGTGTTATATGTCTGTATAAGTGAGTATGTGTGTGTGTCTTTCTGCTTTTGGGACAGCTCACTCAGGATGATCCTTTCCAGGTCCCACCATTTACCTGCAAATTTCATGATTTCCTTGTTTTTCATTGCAGAGTAATCCAAGTTGGTTACATAGTAATGGGAAGAGGGACTGCCTCTGACATAATCTGATTGGCCTGCTCTTTGATCACCCCCCCCCAAGGGGAGGGGCAGCCTTACCAGGCCATAGAAGATGACAATGCAGCCACTCCTGATGTGATCTGATAGACTAAGATCAGAAGGAAGGAGAAGAGGATCTCCCCTATCAGTGGACTTGGGGAGGCTCATGTATGAAGAAGGGGGAGGGAAGGTGAGATCGGGAGGGGAGGAGAGAGGGGCTTATGGGGGGATACAAAGTGAATAAAGTTTAATTAATAAAAAAAATGTAGGTACTCATAGCTACCAGCTTCAGTTTAGATCTGCCTTTCTTACATCCCAATGAACAGATTTTTGAAGTAAGGTATATTTCTTGTTTTGGGTTATAACTTTAAAAGCATGAAGAACAGGGTTGGAGAGATGGCTCAGTAACTAAGAACACTTGCTGCTTTTGCAGAGGACCTGAGATCCATTCCTAGCACCCACATCGGAAAGCTCACAACCACTTTTATCTCTCCAGTTCCTGGAGATCTGACATTTCCTTCTGGCCTTCACAAGCACCTGCACACAAATGATACATATAACAGGCACTTGCACATAGGTAAATTAAAAAAAATATGTTTTGAATAAGAAAAGTCAACTATGCTGAAACCCAAAGCATAGTGATCTAATTCCAAAGGGATGAAAATGATGATAGCTATGCTGGTTGATACAAAAAATTTAATAGAGGACTGGCTTATTCTGCTCACAGTCCCGGAGGTTTCAATCCATCATGGAAAGATGGGCATTGTATAGTGGAAGAAAGAGGAAAGAGGCCAAGGCAAGACATGATCCCCAATAACATGTGTCTAGTGGTCTACATCCTTGTGCCCGGCCTCACCTGCTGTAGTTCCACTAGATACTCTGGTGGAGCTTTCAATCCTTTGGTGTATTATACTATTCTCCAGGTTTAAACCTTCACAATCTACTCATCTCATCATCTCTTGCACTTCTTCACACACACACACACACACACACACACACACACACACAACTGCAATTTGTTTGTACTAATCCCCGGTGGGTGCTGTGTCCCATGAGGGAGGTTTCCATACAGCCGTATAGCATGAGTTCTGGTGTCTGCTGGCAAACCGTGTGACATAAAACCGAAGATCCTAGCAAACTAGTAGAGCCTCATAGTGGTCCCAGAACAGGGTGGTGGTTGTTTCCCCAATCTGCACAGAAGTTCCCTCTGGTGCTGGCAGGCCTAGCACCTCCCCATAGGGACAGTGGGATGGTTGACTACCCCAGAGTTTGTGTTAACTCCCCATCCATCCAAAGGCTCTATAAAATAGCTTGCTGCTGAGCAATAAAGATAGATCTGTACCTCAATACTGGTCTCAATGGTGTACCTGGTGGGTGACTCCGGCTCCCTCACTCCCTCCTGGATTTCAGTTCCCACAACCCCCTAATCAACTCAAACAAGCTGACAGTAAAGAAGAACCATCACAGTAGCTTTATTTAAAAGGCCATGTATAATGAATATCATATGAGAGAGGATGTATGTTGACCTACAGCTGGATATTATGGTCTGTGTTTTAATCCATTATACACAAAAAAGCAAAATGTGTTATCAGATTCATCCTTCTTCATCATACTGATAGAACCTGCCACAAAAGCAAACAGCGAACACAACAGGCACCACTGTAAACACAAAATCTCATTTATTTATTTTTCCTGATGCACAAAGGAGCTCACACAGTACATTAACAATAAGCAAATCATACAGTTACTGGGAAGAAGGATGCCCCCTTGACTACATACACACATATGTATCTATTTTTAAGAACAGCATTCAAGAGGTTAACAATAATATAAGGAATGCTCTCTGATGGGTAAGAAAAAGACAGAAAAGTCACTGCCAAATAATAGAAGTTACCAATGATTGGTTACTCAAGGAGACTGGTAAATGCTCAGAATGTACATTTACTTTCATCATTGGCTTTTATATTTCACTAAATTTGGACTAGGTCTACAAACTAACCCTTCAACACTTCATCTCTCACATTCAGTGCTGGAGATGGGCAGGAAGGTGGGGCGGGGGAAGACTGGAAAACACGCATGGTAACAGATGTCAAGAGTTTCTCTTAGTGACTTTTCACCTGTCCGCTTCTTCCCAGGTCTTTAGAAATGTTTTCATGGCTTCTTACGAGACATTATAAAGTGTAATGTGCAAAGTCATACCTGCAGCAACTAGTAGATTAGAAATTGCAAACATCTCTTTCGGTCTTTAAATAAAACAAAACAATACACAGAGTCCCTTATTTCAAGTCAACTTATTTCAAGTCCTTGCCCATGATATGGTTTCTCATTTTACCTGTTAATAGTTAAGATAACTCTTTCCAAACAAACTCTTTTGAATATTTCAGCAGCAGCAACCTTAAAAGATGTCCACCAGGCTCCAGAAGCCTTGTTCTCACTGTCTACCACATATATATATATATATATATATATATATATATATGTGTGTGTGTGTGTGTGTGTGTGTGTGTGTGTGTGTGTGTGTGTGGAACTGATACAATGTGCTTTCCAGCATGCATTGAAGACTTTCCATATGTCTGCTTCTGAAGTGAACAAACTTAAAAATAGGAATAATCTGCTAGAGACTGGATATTCAGAACACATTGCTAGATCTCACATCCATTGTGTTTTCCTCTGTAAGATTTCAGAGCATTTGCCAAAGGGAATATTCAGGGGCATACTTCAAAAGAGCTAAGCAATGAAGAAGGGGTTTCCTACCATTTCCTTTTTTTTTTTTAACTTGAAAATTTCTCACTGAAGAAGATATTTAATGTTCACAGATTTAGCTTAGAAAGGCCTTTCCCTGCCATGAAGGTAAATACCTTCTTGGATGCTAAAGCCTTCGACAGTTCAAGTAATAAACTAGCTAAGGTAATACAGCAGAGGAGTCCAGCCTCTTTGGCCCAGTAGATTATGATGACCTCTAAGGTCCTTACCTCTGATTTTCAATGCCTCCCCTCCCCCTTTGAAAACCAAATTCAACTTGATTAGTCTACTTTTGTGTTTTGGTTGCAACAATACTTTGTAAATATAACACACATGATGATTTGTAATACTTTTTAACCTTTTACAATGAAGTTCATCAAAAATTCTAGAGAAATGAAACAAATGATATAGAGCAAAAAGGGAAATGTTTTTATCTTTTTTCCTTCTTTCCTTCCTTCCTTCCTTCCTTCCTTCATTCTTTCCTTCCTTCCTTCCTTCCTTCCCCCTCTCTTTCTCTCTCTCTTCCTTTCTTCTAAAGAGAGCAAACCATTCAAACATAAAGTGACAACTGGGATAGGCTTGGAATAGTGCCTGTCTGTAATTAGGAATGTCAACCTACATTAGGCAAAGGCAAGATTTCAAAGTGAAGGACATCTGGCCCCACGTGTGGGGCACTGAAACAAGCATAAACAACACTCACGAACACTTTACTCGAGGAGCTAAAACACGTGAATGATAAGGGGTACAGGGAGATCAAAGTACATGTAGATCCTTCAACACGTTATTTTTTATTAGAAGTTATTCGGCTCACAACACACTATCAGGACTAATCTGGATGCTTGACAGGATGGTGTTATATGACTGCTCTTCCTGCTTCCTGGATTACACTTATTTATATTACTGAGTGTGAATCTTAAGTTTAAATAAAAGCTGATGCTCAACATCAAAGTGCACACACTTTAGGAAGAGGAGTGTGGGGCCTGCGAAGGCTAGGAGCAGCTGTGGCTGGCAAGGCTCTATCCCCAAACACAGCTAAGATCTTCAGCCACGTCACTCAGGTTGGGCACCCTGTAAATAAATTCCTTTGACAAGAGTCAAAAGAGACAGCACAAAATACTTGCCAACTCTCAATGGGAGGTGCGGGAGGGGAGAGATGGCAGCTTGTTTTGATGTGGCTGGTGTGTTAGAACATCTACTGAACACTCAGACGATGACCGGAAGCTGGATTTATTCACTTCTATTTCACAAAACAAACACTGTCTCTTTTAAAAATATAACTAAGTAAGACCAAAAACATCTGTAGCATCTTTAGATGTAATGTATACACAACCAGATCTAAAAGTGCTTTCTACCAGGAAAATACATCCGGACAAATCCTGCCGAGTTAGCATGGTATGTGAAACTGATATTTACAGGACAGTAGAGGGACTGTATTCTCACACTTGAAAATGTGACTTAATTCTATTTCATAAGGTTTTTCAGTTGTAAGATAACACGAAAACTCACCTAAACCCTGAAATAAAATGATATGTTAATGAAACCTGTTTCCTGTTTTTGTTTATATACCAATGTTTTCTAAGGATCTGTGATAAAGTTATAATCTGTTTTTAATTCTCTTACAAGAAGAGACACTATGTTCAGAAAGCTAAAATCCCTTCTTTTGTTTAATAGTGCTCCATGTCTAGTATAAGGAAACCTTATTAATATAAACATTAAATGGATTTCTATATCCTTTCATTATCCTAACATTTTAATACCAGAAAAAAAATCTAAGGAACCAAGGCAACAATTTGATACATTAGAAAACAGAGTACTTTGAATCCACAGGCCTTACAGAAACTTGTCGATGGTTCTTTAAGAACTTAAACACGCCTTTTAAGTTCTAGCACATTGAAAGGAGGGTGAACTTTGTGGCAATGATGATACATTGCATTGGGCAGATTCAGCATTGAAAAGAACCCTGTCCTGTAAGGGTTAACAGTTCTGGGGAATACAGCCCTTCCCCGATTTATGAAGACACCAGTCTACAGAGCAGCGGTACATGAGGCTTATTTCTCATCTAATAAAATAGAAGCAACCATAACACCACACAGCCAGGAATCAAGGTGACTCTGAAGAACACAAAAACACAACTATTTATGCCATGTGGCTATATGAATACTATCCCTAAGAGACTTTAAATCTTTAATATTCAACTTCTGTCAAACACGTTGAAGCACAGAACTATATTTGAAAAGCATGTGGCATTCGGGTTCTGACATTCGTCCCCAAAGAAGGCAAAGCATAACAATAGCACACCTCTGAAATGCAAATCCACGAAGCGCAAATTTCCATAGAGAAAGTCAACCTAGAAGCATGTTTTAAAACTCCAGTAAGTCCCCTCTTTACAAGAACGTTCTCAGCAACTTCATTTCCAAGCACAATCAGTGATTTTCCAGTGTCTTTTCACAGTCTAGCTTGTGCCCTCCCATAAAAAAGCTGCTCACTGGTCTGTTCTGAGTTTCCTAATTTTCCCAGTTATTAGCTCGGAACGTCTAACCACATAGGGATATGTCTTCACTCTGTATGCCCCTATATGGAAAGGTTTTACTTCAGTATTAGAAGCACAGAGCCGGCTACTACCACTGCCTTCTGCGTGAGCTTAATACAAATCTAAACAGCCCAGAGGAAGGCATGGTCACGAAACTACGAACACTCCCCGGCCAGAGTCGAGAAGCTTCCTTCACACAATTCACCAAGTGAGCACTGGAAGTAGATGCAGGAAGTCATCCAAAGAACACAACACTTTTTTTTTTTTTAAATATACTTTCTCACTGGCACCTGGGCACAAGGAAGATTGCAGAGCCACATCAGCCCAGGAGAACATCATGGATGTCGAAGGGTCTTACACTGAGCTGGAGAATGGAACCACCTGCTTTCCACCTACATAAACCTCCTCAATATTTCGGTCATCTCCTGAAAGAAAACAAAAACAAAAACCAAAGAGTTGTTTGTACTGTGCTTTTGGGTCAGTAATTGCCTTGATTTGTTTTGAAAGAGATTTTAAGGAAAACACTTTAAAAAGACGAAACACAAGCAAAAAAAAAAAAAAAAAAAAAAAAAGAAAGTAGAAGCTTTATTTCTCCCAGATTATTTACAATCTTTTGGGGATGACTTGATTCAAGAGTGCATTGATGATTGGGGTCTCCATTCTGTTTGTAAGGTGGAAATCACATGAAGCTCACTCAACCTCCATCCCTGACCTTCCTGCTGAAGGGGCTGGCGGGTGTTTCCAGGCCCAGGTGGAAAGGCATAGCTTTCCTTTCCCCAGAATCATGGTCAGCGCATTGAGATGAGCAGTCTGAGCAATGTTCCTTCTTGAAGCTCAGCTTCACCCAGCACTGAGCTCACACAACGGGAAAGGAGACAGAGGAGACTCTCAAGAAAACTCTGACTGAGAGTTCAGTTCTGTTTCAGAATAGGAAGGTTGTGGGGCACAGAAGGAGCAAAAGAGGACCTGGCCTGACTCCCTCTTCTCCTCTAGTCCCCAGCTCAAGACTTAAATGTTTTTGGAATTGTTAGACATTATGCATTGTATGCAAGCTCAGTGCCGAGAACTGTTTTTTGATTTTTGTTTTTTTTTTAAGAAAAAAAAATTAACACAAGTTAACATGCATAGAATTTACTGTAGTGCACCACGAACAGTCTTGACCAAGAAAAAGATTGTATTTAGCTCAGAAACACAAATCTACCTACCTAGGTAGAGGAACTTCTGGATAACAGCCTAAAATGGAAAATAAAGGTGGTAAGAAATAGTACTATGTATGTTTAGAAATGAAATTTACAGGGAAATGCTGTTGGCAAAGTCCAGAAGTCAAAATTTATTTCTCGATGACAAAATTTACATTTTAATAAAGGACAATCTTTTAAAAAACAAATGAATAAATGAAAACCTAAGCCCAAAACAAACAAACAAACAAACAAACAAACAGAAATCAGTCTACCAGCTATTAAGAAGTGTTTACCTGGGGCTGGAGAGATGGCTCAGTGGTTAAGAGCACTGCTCTTCCTGATTCAATTCCCAGCACTCACATGGCAACTCACAGCTGTCCGTAACCCCAAGATCTGACACCCTCACAAGAACATACGTGCAGGCAAAACACCAATGCACATAAAATACAAACACTTAAATACAAATACATAAATTATTAAAAAAAGAAGTGTTTACCTATTACTGGAATTTACTCTCTACCCTAGTTCTTTCTTTCTTTCTTTCTTTCTTTCTTTCTTTCTTTCTTTCTTTC